AATAAAATCTTTTTTGTATAGCCATGGCCTGCTGAATAAGAATAAAACTTTCGTTGTATTTATCTTGTTCATAAAACATGTAACCCATACAACTGAGAGTAACTGCAACCGATACATGACCTATTGGATAATATTTTTCGTATATTGCTAGAGTTCGTTGATAACAACTAAGAGCTTCATCATATCTTTTTTCAATCGTTAAACATAAAGCAATCTGAGTTAAACTCGTACCAATATCTACGTGAAACGAATCATAATATTTCTCTTGAATTAATAATGCTTGTTGAGAAAAAACTAATGCTTCATCATCTTGTTGTCGTATTCGAAATATCGAACCAATGTTATGTAAACTAATAGCAATATGTGGATGATAAGGAGAATAGTATTTCATTCGAATTGCTAATGATTTTTGATGAAAATTAAAGGATTCTTCCATTTGTCCTTGTAAATATAATATTTCACCAATATCAGAAAGTATAACAGCCGAATCTTTGATACGAATTGGTTCGTTTTTCATCATTCGTTCATACGAACGATCATAATATATTCTTGATTGATTCCATTCTCCTTTCCAATGATAAGCTTGACCAAGACCATGTTCAATCCATGCTAAATCTTCCTTATATGAATAATTATTCAATAAATATTCAAAATATGTCTGTGATTGATTCCATTGACTCATATCACAAATTAATTTACCAAAAATAATTGAAATACTTAAATCTTCAAACTGACGACGTGTATCATCAATATATTTTTGTTTAATTATTTGTCCATCATTAACTGAAATTAACTTAATAATCCACAATTGATCATTCTGTTGTTGAATATTATCTATTCGAAAAGTTGAATTTAAATTAAATAGAATCGTTTCTTGATTAGATAACTCAAGATCAGTAAAGATTGAATTTTTATTCAATTCAATTTCAAAGAGCACTGAAATTTGTTTTGTTGATGATGTGTAACAAGATGATCGATCAGTATTTGCTGTTAGAAATTCTTTCATCATAATAAGTTTACCATTATGTTCTTGTATTTGATTAAATTCACTACGTGATATGAACATTCTTCGATAAACAATTCGATTTTCGTTACCGAATTGAAGATTTTGTATTAAATCACTGAGAAAATATCGCAACATATAAAGTTGTTTAATATCTTCATTTTTCAGAGCTTGGTTAATTAATTCTCGAAGTGATGGATATTTCATAAACAATCGTACAGCTTCATTTGGTTTATAATCATTAATCCATGGGAATTGTTCCAAGATACTTTGATCTACATTTTCAAACTGTTGATTAGATGATAAATGTATCAGGACATCAGGAAAAAGTTGATGCCATAGAAAACTATTCGATTGTTTTGATAAATCTTTATTTGTATATTGAATTTGATCAAAAAAACACCATCGACAATTTTTCTTTTCAGTCAAATCGATTTGTTCTCTAATGGTAGTACATAATAAATCAAATTGATTATAAATACCAATTATTTTTGAATCTTCAAATGATAAACATTCATTTGAACTGTTTGAAATATCAAATAAAAAGATGCTTTTAATTTGATTAAAATTGTTAAATGGAGAAGTAGATGAAGGAGAAATAATCAGAAAGATTATTTTATCTTCAATTGATTTAATAAAATCAATACACGATCCAAGTTCATCATGAAATATAACAGAATCATTGATTTGTTGTAATTGTATTTTGAAGTCTTTAAATTCATTATTTGGATCCAAACAGATGAGAATTATATTCTTTTCATTTTCCATCATATGTAATATAAAATTGAATACTTACTGTATATATCTATGTAAAAAGTTGGCTTTTTTTATAATTTACCTTGCCAAGCGTACGTGACTTCCCTAATAAAGTGAGTATAACACGTGAAAAATATGAGTCATATTTTTTTATACGTGTATTCTGTTTACTTTCAATATTTCGCATCATTGATTCGAACTGTCACCTTTTCTGCTTTTTTTTTTACTAAGATATTTCATATTAAATATCTTTTTTCATAATTGAAACATAAGAAACCCACATTCTCATAGTTGAAAGATTTATTAAATACTTAAAAATACGTTCTAATCTCTTCTTATCATGTACTGAAATATGTAAATACTTATCAAATAATTAAGATTTATTAAATTTTCTATTGAAAACTATCGTGAGCGATCGAATGATATACATTCAGTACTATTACGTATCTCGAATTTTGGATATAGATCGCTCAATTTAACCATACTGGTAGTGCTAATTGTTTATAGAATTTAAACTATTATTTCAAGATCGGTAGTGAAAGATTTCTATCAGAGAAATATTATAAAATGAATGAATCTCAATAGTATACAGTATAGGGCTGTCATATTACCAATACCGGTAATAAGTAATCATTTTTAACGTTATTATTATTACTAATGATAAGTAATATTTTTTGCGGAATAATTAAAATAATAAGAAACATAAGTAATAAAAAATGACTAGTATTACATAATAAAGTAATAAATAATACACATATAACATTGTAAAAATACTTTTAATCATCAGTTTGATTAGCCCTATCGCACAAAGGTATATTGACAACACATTATTGATTGATAAACCACCAATATTTTTAATTTTGACGAAATGAAAACAAATCTCACAAAAACAATCAATCAATAACAAGGAAAATGATGCTATAGTTTACTCAATCCGTGTTGCATGAAACATTTACCTGTATTTCTATATCCATATCACCATTACCATTTTTACGACAACGTGTAGATTTCTTAATCGAACTAGAAGATGATAATATTGATACAACGAACGATCTTCGTTGAAGAGAAGAAGTTCTTTTTTCCCTGCCGTTCATATTTTCTGAACTAGTTTTCAATATCCTAAAACAACTTGAAGAGCTGGTCTATCTTTCCATTTTAATATCAACACAAACTACTAAGATATCTGTATTAAATGTATTAGAATAAATATGCCTTTTAGAGAGAACGAAAAAAAAGCCAATGAAAACGACTTTTTAATTGTCGCAACAATAAACACAATACAGTCGTTTTGTTGGTCAAGAGAATAAAACGAAGGAACGAGACCATAAGGTATAACTGGATATAATCTTTTGATCTTTTCGATACAATTAGTGGATCTGTGTATGATTTATGGAATGGTAATATGGCACTCCTATGAAGAAATCTAAAATTAAAAAAAAAAAGAATTGAATTAATTAAATAGCAAATACTAAATCTATCATTTGCTGAACTTGTCCTTCTACCCTTATCTTTTTTTTAGTTCTCTTTTAAAAGAACACTCCCGCTGATTTGTCGTTATCATTATTTTGTCTTTTTCTTGATCTCATTCTTTTTTGCATATTGTATATAAAGATTGTTGATTAAATGAGAACATCTCGAATAGCAATGAATTATTTAATATTTATCGTTGTATTCTGTTTGATATTATTAAAAACATAAATAACAATCATTTTCCTGATAAACTACGACAAAGATAGTTCTTTTAATGATATTTATTTATTCACATGTACGAATTACAAACGGTAAACGATTTTAGGTTTTACGTTTGTTATGTAAGATGTACTTTTATCTAAAGAATAAAATTTTGTCTATTTTAAACAATATTTCGAATTTAATTTAGACACTCGTAAATATATCTTTAGGATTAATTATGAATATGAATTGATATATAGATTCGATTTTATATGAAAAAAACAATTTCAATATCTATGATTGTGATAAGAACAAATATTTGAATAGAATTCGAAGATGAGAGAAAAATATGTGTCATTTTTGATTGATCAAAGCTATTCCTTTGTCAAGGCTAATGTTTCTTCAATCAATTTTAACTATCTGACATTTGAGTCATTGTCGCCATTCATAGCAATATGAACATATATTTAGTTTATCTGTGATTGACTCAAGTGTAATAGCTTAAATTCTATATTAAATGTATCCTTGTTTATTGTCTTTTTTGTAAGCTTGTAGTCAGTATTATATTCAATAATAGAAGAATTCAGAAACATTTCTAATAATGGATCATTTTCATATAAAGTGTCCTTTTGAGTTTACGTGGACCGAGTGCCTTTTTTGTAGAAAGAAATTTTCATCTTGCGAGTTTCTAGTCATATAAAACGTAGATAAAGTATTCTCATTCGCACCCCTAAGGACTAAGCTATGACACTGTCAACGTTTTAATCCGAGTTCAAATCTCTAAGCATCGACTCTTTTTTTTTATCATTATTCATTTAATTTAAATCTTTCAATAAAATAAACTTCGTGATTTTATACATCTGTTACTCAAGTCATATCGTTCTATGTTTACGAATCAAGTAAAAAAAATTATTACTTATTAATGTCGGCTACTATTTAAATGCTCGGCATAAAAATTGATGTTTTTAATAGTATGATTCACTTTTCTTTCTTTTCTTCGTACTAGAGTATTTTCCAAACGTTTTTTCTCTTGATATGGTTGTCTTTTAGAAAATAAATGAGAATGAATATAGGAAATGCTGATTTTGAAGTTTTTATTCTTTATATTAAAGAGTAATCTAAAATACATGAATGTGTATGATCACTGAGTTCATTGAACAAACGTTTCTAAGTGGAGACGCATATTGAGGATGTGAGTTTAAGTGTGAGTGGGTAATACATGTATTCCCTTCTTCATTCACACATCCACATCCCCACACAGTATACGTGGTACAATATAATAGGTTTATTGTAAAAAGATTTCCAGTTTAAGTTTTTAGATAAATTTATAAAATGAAACCAGGTCTGTAAAGATTATTCGTTTATTTCAAATGAAGTTAAATGGACAGAAAAGAAAAGTGTGAATGAATAAGCATGCAAAGCTCAAAGCATACATATATATACTGGGAGGATCAAGGAAAAACGATACAATTTAATTATATAAAGATGACTCAAGAATATATGTATAATATAAGCGAATGCATTAAAGAAGATGATGTATCATGGCTGATTACTATGGTAAAGCCAAAGATTAATATTCAAATAGCTTTAATTCAGAATACTGAACACTGCTCTCGGAGCTCCGCTTGCTCGAAACAAGAAACCGATAACTTGTATACTGAATTGAATTATTGATTAGTTGTATAATTCCACAGGTGCGTCTACCAGGATCGTCTTCGAGACCACTACTCCCATTGTAGATCAGAGTCCAGCTCGAGCCGAGAGTGAGATTCGATCCAGAGTGATTACTTCCCTCCAATGACACTGTAAGTGGATCACGCGCTGGAAAATCATCGGCTGTGCAGATTTGTAATCGTGTAACTAATGATGCATTTCCTTTCAACTCTAGGTAAAAACCAGTATGCAAACCACATTGTATACTATTTTCACTGTATAAACACGGTGCAAAGTTTAAATACTTTGTGGAAGTATCACCATCGCATGCATGAGCTGGTGGTTCCTCTTTAGGATATTCAACAATCCCGGGGCCAGACTGTGCTGCTCGACTATCGTGGCTTATCCTTGTATCATGTACGCCATAAACAACTCCAGCAGTACTCTTAAGTGAGATAAGACCTGTAAAATAAATGAGAACATTTAAAAACAGAGAAAAGTTTACAAAAATCTTCTATTTGTCCAGTTCGTGTTGCTGAACAAACGTTTAAAAAATAGTTTATTCGAATACAATCGATGTTCTTAAGAGAAAATGTTTTCGAAAAATAATCTTTCTATAGTAGATAATGAGACAAATCCTTAGGATAGCAATAAGATATATATTAATCGATATTCTTTCTTATCACCATCCTCACATCTTCATGTTATATTATAAAAAAATAAAGAAAATACTTGAAAAAAATCTGAAAAAAATTTTTCTCAGATACTTTATTTCTATTTACCGTATCTGCCTTTTTTGTAAGTTACATGGAAAAAAATCTGAAAAACAGGATTTTCTAGAGAAAAAATTCCTTTATTTGATAAAGAAAAAATGTTTTTATATTTATTCTTTCTTTTAAAGAATAGTAAAAATAATGGAGTATTTAGAATTTCAATCAGATTAGACAAGTGAGAATCAACTATTAGTATATGATTGATGTTTTTTCATTAAATAGCCCGTTATAAGTTATTGTAAGTAATCGATCAACTTCTTTCTACCTCTCTTTGAACACAGACATACCTGCTTCTGTTGTCGTTGGTGGTCCTGTAGTTGTTGTTGTTGATGGTCCTGTAGTTGTTGTCGTTGATGGTCCTGTAGTTGTTGTTGTTAACATCAATGCTATTGATTCTCTTCCTGTTGTTGCCATCATTATTGTTGTTGAATTTGTTTCAGCAACGTTTTTCTTTTTCGTGAGAATAATAGTTGTTGGAATAGTAATGCTTGCTATTACCACAATAGTGAATATGATCCATGTAAATTTACTTCGAATGCACACACATCTAAAATAAAAAAAATGTTTTTTATTCACTAAAGCGCAGAATATACGTACGATCTTGTCGATTGAATAGTTTGTATCTCACTTATATCGTTATTACCTGACTGAGGCTATAAAGTAAAGACAAAAAAAAATGAATTAGTTTTTATTTTTTTCATAATAAATTATATCACAAATACTTACTCTGTTGCTTTGATCCATTCGTAAAGCTTCGTCTAAGTTTCACAATGTTATGAAATTAAATCTAAAATAATTCTCAAAAAGATGATATAAAAAAACTTTCACTGCATAGAATTTCTCCCTTATAAAATATAATCACTTCGATATTACATAAAACCTATCTGAAACAATAAAGATTATATCATACCTTTTAAACAAAAGATTTTCCTATTAAAAAAAAACGTCCTCAATTCATATGATAATGATGCATAGACATCGTTGTAATTAATAATCTTTCGTACGCACAAACGGCAACAGTAAATGACGTAAAGATTAAAGAGAATGACGCTCATTACAGAAGCCTTTAAGATAATATACCAGCATTTAAGTAAGAAAATCTGAGAAAGTATTTTCCTTCTCTGTTTTTTCCTCACTGACAAGGATATGTATGTCTACATTTATATTAAAACTGAAGAAAAACTTATTATTTTCTTTTTTTCCTAACATACATCACTTAATACGTCAATATTCATTTTATTTAAGAAAAGTATTTTCTCTCACTTTTTTTCCTTAGCTCTCAAGACTTCAAATACCAGGACAGGATGCATTCTAACAGAGAAAAACGTTATTTATTTCTTTTTTTTTCCTAACATACATCACTTTATATGTCAATATTCATTCAATTTAATAAAGGCATTCTTTCTCAATTTTTTCCTTAACTTTCATGACATAATATGGGTTAAATCAACTAAAAAAGAGTGTATTCCCTTTTCATGTGACGTTGATTTTTTATAAGGATGTTTGTTAGGTGTAGGCATCAGTATGGGTGAGTGTGAGTGTGGGTGTGACTGTGTGTGTGTGATGGGCACAGCACTCACACCTAAACCCACACCCCACACCCTTATAGATAAATATGTGGTCCAAGAATCGATTCATTATGAATTACTGCTTTTATCAACCAAGCTATGCTTTGGTTTCTTCAAATGAAGTTAATTCTTCTCATAATCATGTAATTAACTGTAAAATCTAAAATATATGATTAATTAAATTAAACGATAATTTAATCACCTAGGGTGTGAATGTGACACACTTCATAAGAATATTTTATTCAGCATACTAACGTCTCGAGAATGTCTCTTCTCTTTCCTTACAATCATACTCACGCTGGTACTCTAAAACTTCTTTTAGTGCCAAAAGATGTCACCCAATAACGTTAAAATATATGTTTTATTCATTTTCAAAGACTTCTGTCATCCTCTTTCATGATGCTCGTTTAACTTCTTTCCTTTTCTACTTACTTCTGTCAATTGTTGTTCTCTTTTTCATCTATTGTTATTAACATCTGTGCATCTTCCATTAGTAATAACTGTGTATTTCATCTCATCAAAATATAACAACAACTATATAGGGTAGGCAATATTTTACGTGAATTTTTTTCTCTTGAATCAACTATTATAACTGTACTCATCAAGATCATATGCACGTTTAGTCAATATAAGACACGACAGTTAAAAGTACAATTCAGTCCTTTTCAAGAGTCTCTCATTCCAATCAGACCATAATATTTATTCTCAATTTCTTAAAATTAATATGAGACTTTTATGTTGAACTGCATTATTGCTGATCATCATTCTTACGTGATATATTTCCTTATTGTAATTAACAGATTGTGAAATTTCAGAAACGATGACATCTACACGAAAATCATTAGAAGTAACGAAACAAAAAATAGTTATCATCATAATCGATAAAGATGGTAACAAACAATTAGTAACTGAATGTTTAGAATCATTGAAGAAAGAATGTAATCAACATCATATTGAACAGTGTACATCATTTGATACCGCTTTCAATTATATTAAACAATTTGATCAAAATACAACCATTATCCTGATTATTATAGGACGTTCATATGAAAGTTTAAAAGATGTCATGTTACAAATTGATTCATTACCACAAAAAATACGTAATTGTTTTATTTATTCTACAGAACGTGAGAATATAGAAAAACCTACAGCAACATCAACACATTATGTTTTTGGTAAACGTCAATTACTTTCTGCAATTCGCGATGTATTAGATGCACTTAATTCATCACCTATTCATATTCATTCAGATCAATATACATCAATTACAGTACATGAAAGTACATTCAATAAATTATTCAATGCTATGAAATCAATTCAATTTAAATTTCTTGCATTTACAATCAAAATTTCTCAAATGGAAGCTATTTTATCTCCATCAATTTTTCAATTTAAAGCTTTGGCAGAAATTATTAGTTCATTGAATATGTTTCCACATATTAAACAAAATGTTCATGGTGAATGTGAATTAATATTAGAAGAACATACTGGAAAACTTCTACTTAAAATAAAAAAACTTCTCATTGAATTACCGAAACTCTTTGGATTTGGATGTGGTTTTACAGATGTTGGCAGTTATATTCCTCCTATTCCATTGAAAGGTTTTATTAATTTTAGACATCCATTCGATTTGCCAGATATGTGTGAAACAAGACAATTTATGATCATTCCTCGAAATCCACGATTTATTATCGAAGATAAACGTGCTACTTTTTCTGTACAAATAGATTATGCTGAAGCATCATCTAGTGATAAAAAATAGTTGATTTATTTTTTTTCTCCTATTATTTATTTCAATTATTAAAAACTTGATAATCTCGCAATGAGTATGAATATAAAAACAAAAGTATAAATTCATGTGATACAATAGAGAATAATTAACACCTTTAACTGATGCGGGTGTGGGTGTATGGGTGTGTATGTGAGATATGAACAAGAGTCACACTCACACCCTCAAGATATTTAGAAGAAAAATAGCAAATATAAGTTATCAATTGCCGATCTTGGAATTCTTCTTGTTACCCTATTACAAATTTCAGCAGCTACGATTAGAAATTAAAAGTCAATAAATGCATATTTAAAACCACTGCAAAAAATAACTATAGCGATGAACGAACATCTAATACATGCAGGTGGTGATGCTGGAGAAAGAGTAATAGTGACTCGGTAGATTGCTTTGAGAATTAGCTGAAAAATCTTATTCAGATAGTGATCAACGTCAAATGTCTTGAGTATAAATCCTTTTCAATCGATTAATTTGCATGTTATACAGACCAATTCATATATTTTATCTGGTAAGTGAAGGAAGTATAATTGATATAAAAATAAGAATAAAAAATATAATTTACATTAACTTTTTTCTGTTTTCAAAATATTCATATATCTAAGATCAAAAAGAAAAAGATTATTTTTATTTATAATATAGTTGATTGAATATTTAATATTTGTATTGAATTTATATGAATTGACTCGGATTAAAATAAAGATATTTACATAATAAATCCATATTTTATTTTCAATCGAGAATTTATTAACAAAGATTTTGTTAGAAAATTATTATTTAATTGAAGCATCTCTTAGTCTATAAAAAAGTTCTTCACTTGTTTCCCATACAAATATTTTCACTTACTGTTAATTTTTAGTTCTCTCAAGTAATTAACTATAACAAAATAAATTTTTTTATTAAACATGGAGAATTTAAATAATTTATTAGATGATTTATTTGTATGAAAATTCAATATTATAATAAAATATAAAATATTGAGAAAAAAAGAAATAAGTAATGAACAATGTTAAGTTGGATTTAATAATAAATTGTTTGAGTTAAACATAAATCTGAATAAAAAGAAAAGATTTCATTCATTTGTTTCTTGTATGTATATTCAGTGGTTGTTGCACTTTTATTTTAAATCAATGTTTATTTCACAACCTGTATTTAAATTAGTTTTCTTATTAGAATAAAAGGTAAACATATGATGAATTTTTCTGTGCTATCTGATGGTAAATCATTGATATATTGAGTAATAAAACAGAAGAGAATACCACGAGAATCGTATAGTTACGCTAAAGAGTAAAACATGGGTGTGAGTAATGAAAGAATAATCACTCACACTCAATTATTTCAGTTTCTATTTTTTTCTATGTTGTTCGGATAAGTATAAACATGTTTCTCATTTTGATGTAAATGCAAAAGAGTTAAAAGTATAGAAAATACTTTTACATGATATGACGAGAAATAAGAACTTCTAACTGAACGAGACGGTTCAGAGCATTTCTTTTTTTGTTTATTTTATAGCACTTTCACTGTCCGGTGCATCATATGTGATGCACGATACTTTGGACTGAGTCGTCTCGTGCATCACATATGATGTATGGGCTGCATATGATTTTTGAAGCTAGAATTTGCTAAACGCAACTAGCTGTCTACATTTAGACTATTAGAATATATCGGTACGATGTAAAGAAGTATTCTAGTTTTAGGTTGAATCACACACGATGCACTGGGCATAATAAAATCCTGAAAAACATAGGGCTTTGCTTTTATTTGAGAAAAAAATGAATGCTCAATTTCAGATATTTTTAATACAAAAAAGTGTTTCAAAATAAAACAAACTGTTGTTCGTTATCAATTTAAATGAAAATAAAAGAATAGTCACAGGTTTCAGTAATGATATTTAGTGACACTCATCGAAGCAACCTAAGCAGAATGGTTTCTTGCATTGTCTTCATTTTGTTAAGACTTGTTTGCATTTTTTTCTTTTCTCTCCTTTTTTCACTTAGGCATTTTTCTTCTCTTTATGTTGTTTAGGTATATTCTCTTCTTCGTCATATTTTATTTCTGGAATCTTTGGCACTTCCTAGCTCGTTAATATATATAGCCATCGTTTGTTCAATAAATTTAGTTCAGTATTATTCTTAGACAATTGAATCATATGCGCTGCATAAAAAAAAACATCGAACATATATTTAAAACTTATTTTTGTAGTATTTGAACATAATACACTCCAAAAATAATATATTTTAAAATTAAGAAAAAAATAAAAAATGGATGTAAAACAGGTACTTATTTTTTCACATGAGGACAGTGGAAATGATAATTATTAAACTATGTAAAAACAAAAGTAATTTTCTATTTGCAATAATTTCCGTTGATAATGGTCTTCAAGATATCTATATTCTAAGAATAAAAATAATTATCTACTAGATAATGGCATTTATGTTTCTTAATACTTGAAATTGTTATTTCCGGAGTTTTCTACGTCATCATATATCACAAAAGTATGATTTTGATTGCCAACACACTCTGTAGGACTATAGAGATTACATCCACTCTCGGCAATGAAATTAAGGTTTGCCGATGAAGTATAAATAAACAGAAAAGGACGAGCGAGACTATCATAGAAAAACTACAAAGAATGAATGAAACTGTTGCAGAACTAAGATGGGTAGAGTGAACATGTCAGGAAGATAATATTCTCAAGATGATTATTTTATTTAGATAGAACAAAATGATTCTTCTAAATATAAACTGTCTATAGTTTTAAAGTTAGTTATAAGTCTGAGCAATTTATCATCACCAAAACAGGAATTACAATACGATATTGCAGTTATCTTCCGGTACTAAAGCAAAACATTGAGAAAATGTTTTTTCTATTAGATAGTCTTGCAGAGTGTGTTGGCAATCAAAATCATACTTTTGTGATATAAAATGACGTAGAACACACCGGAAAATAACAATTTCAAGTATTAAGAAATATAAATGCTATTATTCAGTACAAAATTATTTTTGTCCTTAGAATACAAATATCTTCAAGCCTATTATCAACGGAAATTATTGCAAATACAAAATTACTTTCTTTTTACATAGTTTCATAATTATAAAATAAACAAAAAGAAGAAACGCTCTGAACCGTCCCGTTCAGTTAAAGGTTCTTTTTTCTCGTCCTATTTTGTAAAAGTATTTTCCATATTTTTAACTCTTTCACATTTACATCAAAACGAGAAGTAAGTTTATATTTATCCGAACAACATAGAAAAAGGTGGAAACTGAAACAATTGACGGGAAACATTTCTCTATACTTTGCTTAGTATTCATCCAAAAGTATTGTATATACACTGTTTTCTATATTTCTTGTTTTGCGTCTTCTATTTCAACATAGAGTAATATTTCTAAGTATTCTCTCAAATCAGTCAATCTTATCCCTATTGAAACGTTTTAATTTTAATGCTAGTTCTAATGTTCCCACCTTTTTACTAACTATATGAATTATATTTTTCTCATTTATTTTTTTTCAAAATGATTATGTGTCTGTTTGATTTTGATCTAAGAAAATGAAAAAAGGTATACTTCGCTTATAAGTGAAACTGAGTGATAGTAGAGAGCAATTAAATTGATAAGAATCCAGTAATCTTTTCTATCAGAATATCATAAAGTTTCAGTGTAAATGGATGTTTTATCGACAAGGATAATAAATATATAAGAAGATCCGCTTTTTCTACTTCATACAAACTCATTTTCTCGAGAAGACAACATTAGTTTTCGAATAAAATTTTTAGAGTATCCTCACATCTTTAGTGGTCACATGAGAAAAATTATATACCCACGCCCTTTTTACAATGCTTATTGAATAAAACAAAACTATTTTTTTCTAGATATAATCTGATTATCAGTCATGTTTTTCACAATTGAATATAAAAGTCGACAGTTGATCACTTTCATTTGGTCACTGTTTTTTCTTGCTTTAATGGTCCATCCAGTTTATTCTGAAGAAATATTTCAATCTCGAATAGTGTACTATCCTATTGGCACTCAATATTCTCCTGTCAATCAAGCAGCACAATTACTTTCGACAACCATCACAAATTCATTGAAGGCATGTGCTATTGTATGTAATCAAAATGTCTTATGCCGCATTGCTGAGTATGATACATCTGCATCAGGACACTGTCGATTGTTTGAAGGTGACATAGATACAACGGGAAGTATTATTACATTACCATCACAGTCAAGAGTTGGCGTTGTACAAATATCAGCGAGTTTATTTTCACAACATGGTTTTCCATGTGGTACCAGTTGTCAAGAAAATCGTTATCTTACGTGTCAAAATGATTCAACATGCCAATGTATGCCACATACTTATTGGAATAAAACAGCATCCATATGCATGCCACAATCATCTCTAGTCGGTGCACCATGTCAACAAAATATGAGCATGTGTCGAGAAGATCTCGGTTATAGCTGTTTGCCAACTAATCAGTGTGGATGTAAGTTGCATCTATTCTAATATAGAACTGAAGAATAAAGAAGAAAATAATAGTAATATAATTGACGTATTTTCCTCGTGCAATAT